CTCTGTCTCAGGGAGCTGAAGGATGACGGCAAAGTAAGTCTTGTGAACTGCTGATGCCTGTGACTCATGCGTTTTTCATATTCCTTTTCTCTTGTCACTGTGCTTCTTACCTGAAAATATTGTCAACAAATGATAATGTGATTTTTAAAATTATGTAAAAAAAAAACAACTACACAGACACAGATAAACTCAAAATCAAACAGAAAGACAGACAGACTGATACATAACCAAACAGCTCCTAGCACAAGTCTTAACATCAAGCTAAAAAAACACAATTGCAGTACCCTAAACTCCAGGTTCTGTCTCCCCAGTGTTGTCCTCTGCTGGCTGTCTGCCACATCCTTGGCCGTGTCCAGGGTCACCACGGGGAAACAGTTGTGTGCCGTGGTTCTCAGGATGTTGATGATGGACTGCAGCCGCGTGTGAGGGTAGATGTAGACAAGGTCTGTGGACATGACAGAAGTCGCAGCCACTCTGTGATATAGATAATATAATGAGAATAATACATAATTATGTACATGGATGTAGATATAATATATGTAAGGGTAGATGTAGTGATGCCACTAAACCACTAATGGTCTCTCTGTCTACTACACGCACCAAGACGGTAGAAACAGATTAAATCTCAGCTCAGAAGACTGATGTTAAACCAAGTTGGGCCAGCCTAAGCTGTGTGTTAACACAACTTACTGGTAGGTCACATGTTCCACTCACCTGTCAAGGCCAGTAGGTGGCTCCCAGTGTAACAGTGGGATATGCTTCAGTTCTATATGAATGTCATACAGTCCTTCATTGAACAAGTCCCCAACCCATTTGGCAACCTGAAATGTATATCAAATTATGGCCAATGAATGGTAGAAAAGGAAAATGAATCCAAGGGATTGAAATGAAAGTGAAATTTATATCAAAGGTCCTGAAATCAAAGTGAAAACATCAAATAACTCAAATTTTGGTATAGAGTAGTAATAGGTTTAGCACACAACCAATTCTAAAAATTTTGACGATAAAATTAATAGTAAACTTAAACATGATTAAATCTACTTCACTTTCTCATTCCTCACCTGAGAGAAAAAAAAAAAAAAAAAAAAAAAAAAGCAAGAGTTTCAGTATTTGTCTTCAGTGACTCTCAACCCCTTCAGTATACACTTTACTTACCATAAGCACCAACATTATGGGCAGACTGTACTGAATCTCATTGGTGGCTTCTATAATGATAACAGTCAGACTGATGGTCATGCGAACAACTCCGCCCAGAAAAGCTGCAGCACCCACCAAGGCAAAGGTGCCAAGGTGGGAGTGTTCAAATTCGAAATAACTGAAAAATAAAAAAAAAAAAGACAGAATTCATTGCTAGGTAATGTTTATCTTTATGATAACCTACAGAGGCACTGGTTTTGTTCTTTTTTTCTGCTTTCTTTCTTTTTTTTTTTTTTTTTTTTTTTTGTGGGTGTTTAAGTTTGAAAATTTTGATTTCATTAAAGTGAAATATTTACATTCAATGCAAGAATTAGCCATTTTCAGCACTGCTTGCTCTTCTATGAATAATTCATAAAACCAACAAAATAAAATTATTATTATTATTATCATTATTATTATTACCATAATTAAATACATAATTCAAAAGGCACCAATGTATCCTGTGCTACTTACTCTACCAGGACAGTAGCTACAAGTCTCCCATAGCAGGCCCCACACAGCAGTGAGGGAACAAACAGACCACTGGGCACTCCCACACCATACGTCCAACACGCCAGGAAGAAAAAGAAGATAAAGAAGATCCCCAAAGTTGAAATGCCAAAACGTCCTGGAGAGAGAGATGAAAAAGACAGATTACAAAATCAATTGAAATTGTAACATCAAGGCAATAATACACATTATCTTTAAAGGTCAATACAAATGTCAAAGCTGATAAAACAAAGATTTATTACATATTAACTTCAAACAGAGCTTTTCAGAGTAGAAAAACCACTATCAATGCACACATACACGTTGTATACATGCACGCATACACGTTGTATACTAACTACTTAACACAGTGACAAAACTGCTCTCATCTACCATACATTATGGCCCATAGAAGTTAGCTCTTTTGTGTTTTCAAAGAATTAATCCTGCTCCTATGGGCCATGCTATCTTGCACACATATGTCTTATGTCTTGACAACAATCTTGTACTTCTTGAAGAACAAAGCTCCCATATTAATTGTTACAAATTCGAAGTGGGATGAAAAAAATGTAATAAGTGTGTGTGTGTGCATGTGTGTGTGTGTGTATGTGTGTGTGTGTGTACATGTATGTGTGCGTGCTAGGTGGGTGCAAGTGTACCGGCCCTCTTACCATCTTGATGAAAAAGCTGCTTGATTGCAATCTCCTCTGAATTAAAGAACAGCGTGGCCATGTCATTGTACATTCCGTCTGGGCAGAAAAACTTCCTGACCCCCTCACTGCCACTGTTAGTGCTATTGGTGGCGATAGGAATCTAGAAATGGTACAATAAAACAGTGTTTTATATAAAGACATTCTCTTAGACTATAATCTGAGAGGTGATACAGAAACTGGGACATACCTAATATAATATATCACATCAGGTGTGGCACACTTAAACTTAAATTTAGTAGGAAGGTGAGAATAGAGGGTTCAATGGACAGCTAATTAATTCTCTATCCCTTCATAATTTAATGTATATGGTTTTCTCTCTCCAAAGATATACTGAGAGCCAAATTATGACCTAGACTTAATTATTTGCCTTATCATACATTTACCACAAAACAGCCTCTCAACTTACAATCTCTATCTGAAATTCTCACCATAATTTGACTGCACGTTCCTAGTGTCATGGCAGCTATGAAGGTCAAGGTCGTGGTGACACTGGCCACCAGCAGAGCTTCCAGGATCCTTGGGAGATCAAGCAATAAATTTACTGAGGGAAATATTCTATTACTGAAGGGAACAGTCTACAATTAACAGGAGGAATATTTTATATATTTGTCTAGTACAAACTTCTTACTCAACACTTATGATAATGTATAAAATCATAAAAATTATATACAACTCTGTAATGGCTGAAGATAAATTCCAGCACAAAAATCAAAAGGATTGGACTCGACATTAATCTTTATATCATAATTTTTAATAGTCTTTCTGCATAGACTTTCAATCAAAATATTTGATCTCACTTGGCCTTTTTGCCTCTCTGCTGCACAGACTGCATCCTCTGCTCAGTCAGGGATTGGTTGATACGGTTGAACAGCGCCCCCAAGAGGCCACCAACAACAGCCATGATAAGAAACACGAGAAGATCTGGCGTTGTCCAAAGAAAGCAGTTCTCATCACCTGTCTTGCACTGAGATTAAAATAATCAAAATAAGATACATGTAACAAGTAGGAGATTAATTTTCTGTGTCCCGTGTGTATGTGCGTGTGCATGTGTGCGTGTATGTGTGTGTGTGTGTGTGGGTGGGTGCATGTGCATGTTTTCAAGCACATTTGCCTAATATGACAAACCGGTTACTATATAATTTTGATGTCACAAAAAGTTGTAATATATTTTAATAAAAACAAGATAAGGCAGTCAAATAATATTTGAAGGTAAAATAACCAATGACTACCTTAAAAACCCCAAAGTTGACCAGTCCCGGCAGGAAGAAGTATCCCCACTGATTTGAGTCAACACCAGAGCGGAAAAAATTCAGGGTGTATGTAGCTGACATTGCACAAAAAAACTGAAACAGACAAAAATTCTCAGTGCAATATTGCCAGTTTGGACAAATTCTGTAAAATTACATTAACTTATATTTAGAAAAATATTATTCATTTCATTATACATGTACAAATGGCTTTCAGGTCATGAAAGATTTAAAATCATATGGGCAAACATAACTGTTATATACAGCACCTGGCAGATGCACTTACAGCCTGAAAAATACTGTATCTTTACCAAGTGCAAGTGTTTCACTCACTGTTGTAGTATTTTTATTAAACGTGACACATCAACTTCATGAAAATCAATCAACCTCGTAGGCAGAGGCCCAGTTAAACTCATGAAATAAAAATACTTTTTAACAAAAATCACTCACGGATCGCCAAGTGAGACTCTGGTTCCAGAATGAGGATCCTTCCTCCAGACTGAAGAGCACCCCTCCCACGGGCGCCCCAAATGCAGCTGAAGAGAAAAATGGCGTGGTGAAAATATTCCATTAAGTTTATGACTTAAGCAAGGGAAATCGGTTACTGTTACAAAAGAAAGAAAGGAATAATAAGGAAGAAAGGAAGAAGGAAGAAATGAAAAAAAAGAAAAAAATTATTTAAAATCCATCAATTCTAATATGACAAAACTATGATTGCAATTTACTGTCCATATAAGCCAGTAGGTAATATTTCCTGACCTGCTACACCTGCTGCTGCTCCTGATGACACAAAATCTCTTTTATCTCTGAAATAATTTTAATACGTTATTAAAATGCCAAATATGATATAATATAACTGAGTAGAATGCAAACAATTGTATGACATACATGTATGTACTATCATAAATACTTACAATCACGTTTATAACAAACTCTATCTTACGCATGTATCTCCTCTCTTCTAAGTAGAACACTATTTAATTACTATGTAAGACATTAGTGACAAGCATGAGAAATACATTGTACCAGTATAGTGTTATTATAGCAATAAAATTAACAATTATATCTGTGTACGTACAGCGCACATCACGTGTGTGTGTGTGTGTGTGTGTGTGTGTGTGTGTGTGTGTGTGTGTGTGTGTGTGTGTGTGTGTGTGTGTGTGTGTGTGTGTGTGTGTGTGAAATTACATACATAAGTGTATGCCCTCATGTGTGTTAGTTAAGAGTACAATTGGAAAACTCAGAAGTACCTTTCAGTCTTGAAGTAATGATATGTATGCGTGCATGTGTACGTAGATACATGAAAACAAGAATGTGTGTGTGTGTGTGCAAGTGTTTTCATAAAGGCATGTGCATGCATGTAAGCAGTTGGGCACAGTTTTAAGAACTCAGAAGTACCTGTCAGTTCTGAAGTGTTTATATCTGCAGTCGACACATTTACAGGTGGTACTGCTTAACATGGGGATTCCAGCACCAAGTATAGCACCACTGTGGATCATAGGACCTTCCTTGCCAACAAACAGACCTGGAATATAAAGTTGTTTTTTTTTTAATCTCTTACTAGACTTATGATGATCATTTTAGTTGACAATGTGTCAGAAGTCTCTGCAAGAGAGCTCTATATGCAATGGCATTAACTAGAAAAAAAATTAATGAGAGAAAAAGGTGAATATTAAAGTGCACAAGAAAAATTAATTACTGTAAAATTTAATGGAACATCATAATATGGGGACATCAAAAATTTTAAATGTTATCCACTTATTTAAAAAAAGCATATGATAGTAACTATGAAATGACCCCATTTTTCCACTTTGCATCAGCAGTCTGGCAATGCTTATGAAATAATAAGCCGTATCTCCATCCACACTAACGAGATAAACTACATCAGCCAAAATGAAGACAACACTTACCTCCAGCCACACTGAAGAGCACTCCGACTGCCTTGGACACCAGCGTCTTCATCCTGGCCACCCTCGGCATCTTGATCCCATTTAAATAACACTTGATCTCTGGGATACCCGAGCCTGCAGCTATTGGCTGAATAATAATAATAATAATAATAATAATAATATATTTTAAATTTTGATAAAAAAAAAAAACTAAACTGGTCTAAAACTTTTTATTGTAAATTTAAGAATTTGAATTATGTTTAATGTTTACTTTTCTTAGTCTTAGATTTTGATTTTTCCCCCTGACACTTTTGTACAAGACTGTATGTGAAAATATCACATCTAATAATGTACATCTGTATCAGTATGATTCCTTGTCTCACACACACACACAAAAAAAAAAATCTGACTGTCTTCCAGAAGACCCAGAAGACGGCCTAAATCCGCCCCTGTTTAAGTATGCCCATATCTAACATGTTCTACAGTGAATAACCCAAGAATGTTATTCAAATATTTGTGTGCATGTATTGTAGTCATGTTGGCATATAATTGAATTGAAATGAATGCACTGGTGGTTTATCAGGATTCCCTGTATTTTTGTCATGTATGTGGGTGTATGCATGTGGGTGTACACGTATGTATGCTTGTCTGCCTGCACGTAGGTGCCAGTGAGCACAGGATTTGAGTTTGGCTGTTAGGGTTCATTGTGCTGTATATTCATTGTTCATTGTGTTCATTGTGCTGTATATTCATTGTTCATTGTGTTCATTGTGCTGTATATTCATTGTTCATTGTGTTCATTGTGCTGTATATTCATTGTTCATTGTGTTCATTGTGCTGTATATTCATTGTTCATTGTGCTGTATATTCATTGTTCATTGTGTTCATTGTGCTGTATATTCATTGTTCATTGTGTTCATTGTGCTGTATATTCATTGTTCATTGTGTTCATTGTGCTGTATATTCATTGTTCATTGTGTTCATTGTGCTGTATATTCATTGTTCATTGTGTTCATTGTGCTGTATATTCATTGTTCATTGTGTTCATTGTGCTGTTTGCTGTATATGTGCGAGTGAATGCCATTTGTTCACATGTTTACTGACACATATGCATATGCATATACTTATAGCATGTTACCCAGCCCTACCATACAATGATAATTATAACTCGGCCTTTTCAACAGGGAGGGGTTGTGTGAATTTTTCAGATACCATATTTTATAGTCATAATTTTTTTAAATTAGAACATGTCTAATTCAGTATTTGCAACAAAATTAAAAACCAAGCTACTCAAAAGTTGTACTGTATGCAGTAAAAGCACCACAAATTCCATACAGAAATACAAAGATATAATTTTTGTGATTATAAAATAATGTATCTGAAAGTTTGATGATTTTTGCCCATTGAAAAGATCGAATAATGACCACACCTTACCTCTATTACAGTGAGTACGGCAGCTATGAGGACAAAACCTACATTGAAGGCCAGTAGATAGAGAAGAGAAATAGCCAGACATCCTTCTGTTGAACACTCATTAATGGCTTATTAACACTCAGTTAAGGTGAACAAAGAACACAGCAAACGTGTGAGTGTCGAAACTTGTATCAGTATACAAAGGCATCTACATGTACGTACTATTTTACAAGGTTCTCAATTCTAAATCATGGGGAAATGGACTTACTAACTGTTTTAATCAATACTGTGAATAGACTAGCTTATAAAAATTAATTTTGGAAAATATAATTTATCAGTTCTGTTACAATTCATGTAATCAAGATTTTGGATTCTTAACAAAGGCCAGTGACTTGCAACAATTTTATATCTGTGATGGAGGAGAAATGAGAACTTAGTGACCTCATTAATATGTAGATCCTTTAGAAGTCAATAAAAACACATGAACAATTGATTAAAAACACACTCCAAAATTCAACATAAAGGCAAGAAATTTTAAACACCTTTAAAATTCTTCAAAGCATCAACAACAATGCAAATTAGATATAGAAATAAAGGTTACGATAGTGCAAAGTCAAATAAAACAATCCTACCATTTTTCTCAACCAAAAATCAAACTGTAACAATAAAAAAACCCAAAACTCCGACTGATAAAACCCTTACAAAATCAAAACCAAAAAGCCCTAAAAACCTCAAATTTCACACTAAATAATTTACCATTTATGGATACATTTTTCAACCACCATAAACTTTAATTCAGACAACTTTCCCACTATGAAGTCTATTAAAAAGGCAATCTGAAAAGAAATGAAAACCAAAGGCATTAAGTTACACACACTGTCGAGTGAAATACACATTATGTCATTTAAGTCAAGCAAAAAAAAAATTGAACACTGAGGAGGAAAAGTTTGATTATAATGCATATACCAATTAAGTTATATTATTTAAATAACTGACTGTTACATTTTACTCTCAAAATTTGGAGAAGAAAAATACAGTGGCTAAACAAGGCACACATATCATGAAAGTGCCTTTACTAGTACACACGTACTATGCCTGTTCCAGCTCCTATCATGAAGGTGACCACCCATTTCATAATCTCCTGCTTGATCCAGAAATGCTGCAAAAATAAATAAATAAATAAATAAATAAATAAATAAATAAATAATGATAATTTTTCACTCAAACAAATGAAACCAGAGTTTATATTGAATTTAAAAAATTAACGCAAATGGATAATGTATTTTGATAAACCAATTGTACAACAATTCAATAAGTTAAAACTTTTTTCAACATAATAACTTTGGTTGTAGGACAAGAGTAAAAAAAATCCAAGATGGTGGGAGCTTCTTAAAGTTGAAATGTACCATCACAAACATTGTGAAAATATTTGGAATCTTAAAGGTATAAGAATTTCAGAGGTGTTACCTTGTCCCTTTCATGTTCCTGTAGTAGCAAGTCGAAGGGAAGGTTGCGTACAAGCTTATCATTGTAATCCAGACTCTACAAGCAAAGCAACATGACACATAAAAATAAGCAGAATATAAATTCCTCAATAATTAAAAAATAAAAAATAATCAAAAAATCAGACTTGCCTGATGGGGAATAGCCATTTTTCATTTTAAAATTAAAATATATTTTTAAGAAATGAAATCCAAAAGTCAAGTTTTAATAATAAAAAATATATTATCTTTTATCAGAAAAAAATGTATTATTTCTCAAGAATACTAAAAATACATAAATCATTTATTACGAGCCTATTGTATTGTTCTCAAGAAATAAAACTATCCAAATGTGTTCATGAAAAATTTTCAAATATAATCAAAAATCATTTTCAACTATAATCAATTTCAAATAACTACATGTATACATATCTGTGACAAAATTATAGTTCTTATAAGAGGCAAAAGATAATATTCACTTCATAATCTTTATTGCTACTTGATTGCACATCCCCATGGTGGTCTGACTCTCCGCTGGACAAGAGTGGGGTCTGCAAATAAAGCACAAAAAGGCAGTAAAACTGTCAAAAGTACACACAAAAAATTGAATATATTAAATATTGCATATAAAAAACAAAAATACTTCAATAAATTTCCAGGTAAAATATGTTACAATATGTTTTTTTTTTTCATGATTGGTGTTATGACCCTTCATCACAGATTTTTGATTATTTTAATGGCCATTTATTTACTTTTTTAAAGGTCATTACAAAAGAATAAAATGGAAAAAAGAAGAAAANTTTTCGAACTTGACCTGCGTATTATGAATATTCATCAGTTCTGCAAGTTTCAAATCAAAAGGCAAAATGGTTTTCCACTTATCGTATTATCGGTAAAAGTGCACGGCGACGGCGACGGCGACGGCGGCGACGACAGACGCAGATGATGGCTATATGTACAGACACATCTGTGTCTGTACATAAAAACATGTGAAACAATGGGCTAGAAATATGCATGGCCATCAGCATCAGCCACAGACAGTTATTTTGATCAAATTTGACTCCAAACCAGAATACAAAAGGTCAGAAGTCAGATAAATAAAGTTTACAGTGGGGATATATTATCAGCTTTCTGCAGATAATACCTGATATAGATATAATGCTATTATCATTAGGTACTACATAATATGACTTAATAGTGCATATGTAACTCATATGACTATATCGTAACAAGCTCTGCCCTTGACATTTATTAGACTTGCTACAGAAAAAAAAAAATATGGACAACTTTCCAGACTAATTACTTTCACTTTCACTTGAAATATCTTTATGACAACAATTTCTTCCTTTTTTAATCAACACTTTAAAGAAACTTTAAAAGTGTATGACAATTCATGCAGTATGCATAATAAATGCACTGTTCAACTAAGATAAGCATTAGGTCATAAAAGGGTATAAAATGTATGATTAAAGCAATAAATGCAAACAAGTTTTCCTTCCGTGTTAGATGATACATGTACTATTGATAAGCAGTCAAGCTGATAAGCACTGTGTGAACATAGTTTTTAAACTAAAAAAAAAACACTTCCTTCTTATGAAAAATTATGACAGGCGATTCAAGATTGGTAATTATAAGTCAAAAGCCATACGGGCAAAGAAGTGGCTAGGAACCAACATCTGTTGTGTAATTTTTAAAACCACCCGTATCAGTATTATCACGAGGATAGTATTCAGTATACTTGAACTAGCAGACGCTTTTAATGTAGTACAAAATTTGGCATGTTTGAAAAAGCTGGTGACATTTTTGAAATATGAATTAATAAGTTGATATCCTATTCTGTTTATATGAGTCTCAACTCACCTCCTCGTCGTCACAATCGAAGCGAGAATAGTGTCTATTTCTTCGGAGGGGACAACAACACCCACAACGAGAGGTGGCCATAATTCTATACTACTGACTGAAGGCCGGAGATAAGTAACGTCAGGTCTCAACATGGCGGAATATGTCACTTCAGGCCAGACTTAGTAGGCAGGTCCTTCATAGTTATATTTCATATGTCCTGTTCTTTATTCTTGTTGCTTTTAAATCATCTTACGTAGTTCCTCTCAGCAAATTTTCAATTAATGACTCAGTATCAAGTTTAAAATGTAGGGGGATGCCGATCACGAGCTAATCCTTGCATGATTGTGATGACAGCAAATTGGTTTATAAGTGCTTTGTCACAATTAATGATATATTTTTTCTAGAATACTGTCTTTCACAGATGAAAAAAGTTACTCAGTTCTAATCCATATTCCAAGAAGTATTTAGATGATAAAGTACATATCCTGGAATGACAGCTGGCTCCGGTTCTGATATGACTGCCTCTTGGCTTTAGCCAGCTGCCTCTCTGACCTCAGCGTGAAAATGACCTTCGGGGGTCACAGTCGCCATATCGTTTGCAGACAGCTACAAGGTCATTTTGCCGGTAAGTATTACTCCTTAAATATCTTAAACTCATGAGAAAATTAAAACTTTATTCAGTAATATCAGCTTGCATAGCGTTCGTCCATACTGTGTTCCAATTTAGGGAAATGTTATTTCGAACTTTTTGTGTTTTCTTTGTTTTTATGCAAGGATATATGTTTTTCGACCTTGGTCTAATTTCCTTTTTTTCTTCTCATGTGACAAGTTCCACGTTTTTATTATTAAAATGACAGTATTTTTTCTCTTTTGCCTAAGTAGGACACATCTGCAATCCTTCAAACAAGTCTATATGTGGTGTTATTAGTTTTTAATATGATCTCTCTAAATAAACATTATTACAGTTTTGCATAATTTAGTATTTGACCTTTATTTTACCAATGCCATTAACAAAGGTCCTAACTAACAGTCCAGCAGGTACAAATAGTACTGATCCAAAGATTCCACAGTGAGTTGCAGTATAATGTGTCTAAAGAATCTGTAATATCTTCACTCTGGCACTTTTTCTATAAACCTGCCACATGTGCTGAGTGAATTGAGTCATGGCAGGAAGTTCAGCCAACTCAGTCACTCTTTATGACAAGGATATTTTGGAAATCATGTTGTCTGTCAGGTATTATACTAGTAAGGTAAATGAGTCTGGAAGCTAACTGACAATAGGCAAGTAGATTTGACTGCATGTCCAGCATGAGCTGAATTTCAGCGTGGAATATTTCATATATATGCTGCAGCTAAGTTGGCTACAAATCATTTTAGTGAATTAGAAAGTTATTTATTTGGTACATGAAATTAAAGTTCACTTTTTGAATGGTTCAAAATGGTTAGAATTTTACCTTAATTTTAAGAAAGTCATGATTCCAGAGAGGTAGCATCTGTAGAATACGCATTTAATGCTCAGGCTTTATATATGTATGTTTGTAAATATTTAGTAATTAAATAATCTAGCTATATATATATATATATATATATATATATATATATATATATATATATATATATATATACACTTTACTTCCTGTATCATACAATCATACCAGGAAACTAGATTTGATATGATTGACCTAGTATAATACAATCACCTGTCTATGCACTGTGTATGTGCAACCTTTTCAAGGCAGATGTAAAGCAGTGCTCAGGTGTATACTTTAGTCTACCTGTACAGGTGCTCATGCCAGACAGCACTGACAGGTAATGATTTGCAGACATGGATATGTGAGCTTGAACACAATATTTCATAGGTGCCTCACTATAGCAGGTTTCTTGTTTTGGTCCATGTAAATTGATATCTTCAGCATAAGACAGGTCTCATTGTTTGACTGCCAGACACTGGGTGAAATATTATCTGACAGATTGAGTACTATTTTGTTTTTCTTAATTCATACAAAATTGTTTACCATGGCAAACTTGTATTGTTCATATATTTGGCACTTATGCTATCCCCCCCAGTCTTATAAGTGTTATTTTTTATCTTTTTTCTAAGTTCACGTAATCATAGGTGGTGGCTATTGTCGATAGCTGTATAATTTTCTTACAATAAACAGATTACAGGAAATTTTCCCTCCCGGAAGTGACCTTGGCCCTGTTGTAGTCATAAGGGTTTTTAAGTCTCCTCCTTTCCCTGATTATTATAAAATTAAATGCACTTCCAACTATAGTACAGAATATAAAGCATGAGGAGGGCTATAACCCCTTGAAATAAATGTGTCATTTATTTTCTGCCCCAGTCTTCACCAGCTTAATCTCCAAGATGTCCATCACTAAGGTCCATGCTCGCCAGATCTTTGACAGTCGTGGCAACCCCACAGTGGAGGTAGATGTCACCACTAGCCATGGTAAGCAATTCCTGACTCTTAAGAAAAAATGTTTCATTTACATACTGAAATGAAGAGTTCATACTCGTGCAGTATTGAATAAGAAAAGACGACATATAGGTAACAAATGTAGTTTGGTTGTGCCACAATGTGGGTTGGTGAAAATGTGTCAGAGCATCATCTAGAATTGATTCAAGTTCTGAAATATCAATACTTTCTATTTATTTTTGATATTAAGAAAAAAAAGTAATGATTTTGAAAAAAACTGTTTTGATTATTATTAAATGAGAAGGTTTATGTGCAGATGTAAAAAATATGCAGTTAATTAGTTTTCATATTCTTCATAACTGTGGTAGTCACTGATATCAGATAACCAAAGAATATTTACAGTTTTTATTTATTTATTTATTTATTTATTTATTTATTTATTTTATTTTATTTTATTTATTTATTTATTTTTTTTTTTTTTTTTTGAGAAATAGAATACATGTGTATGTTTTACTGTAGGCCTGTTCAGGGCAGCAGTGCCCAGTGGAGCGTCAACTGGTGTCCATGAAGCTTTGGAACTGCGTGATAAAGACCCAAAACAATACCATGGAAAAGGTAATAACTGTTAAATCTGTGCTCATGTATAAGGTTTTGTTATGATTAATTAATTATGTGCTCTGTCAAATAAAAAAAAAATTTAGTAATAAATTTTTTACCATTAATTTTTGCTGTGAATACCTAGAGAAAAAAAAATTATTGAATATTGATATTTATAATGTTATTTTCAGGTGTAAGCAAAGCTGTGAACAATGTTAACAGCATCATTGCTCCTGCTCTGATTGCTAAGGTACACACTGAATTTGATATATAAGCATTATAAGCAGTATACGTTACCATGTAAATTTTTATACTTAAGAAAATGTTTTCTTTTTATAAATTATATCTCTTTCACTCTCTCACTCTGTCTCTCTCTCTCTTTCTTTCTCTCTCCATCTCAGTATAATAATGCCAAGTTAACATTCTTGCTAAAAGGTCATTAAAAATTTTCAGAACCTTGATGTCACCAACCAGACAGAGGTGGACAAGTTTATGATGGAACTGGATGGCACAGATAATAAATGTAAGTAAGCCAGAAAAGAAGAAATTAAATTTTGATTACTATGTCATTTTACACCCTTGAAGCTAAAGAAGTGCTACGTACCTTAATTACTTCATCTTTAAAAAAAAAATGCCATAACAAATATATTGTATGTCCTTTAGTTGAGCATTGTTTTGCATTATTTTAATAAAGGCTATTTTGTAAAATATGGGACTGATAAATAATGCAATTTTTTTAGCCAAGCTCGGCGCTAATGCCATCCTAGGTGTTTCTCTGGCTGTGTGCAAGGCAGGTGCAGCAAAAAAGGTACATAGATGAGTTCCAAAAATATAAAATCAACAGAGATCCAATGTTAATATCATGTAAGCTCTTTTTGAAATATGACTCTAGTACACAGCAGTGTTATGCTGAAAATCACTGGTGAATTTGTTCGATAGCATGGAATGTTCAAATTTTAATTAGTTTTTTAGTTGCAACTCTTAATTTTTCTGTTATTTTTTATCTTGAAACAGTAAAACTGTGTGCAGATTTTGAAGGAAATTTTAGTTAATCACGTCAGTAATGACAACATTTAATGTGTGATGTATAGGGCGTTCCCTTGTACCGTCATCTTGCTGATCTTGCGGGAAACAAGAATGTTATCCTTCCAGTCCCAGCATTCAATGTCATTAATGGCGGAAGTCACGCTGGTAACAACCTGGCCATGCAGGAGTTTATGCTGCTGCCTTCAGGTAATTGTTTGTTTTCCTCCCTATTTAAAAGCCCTTATGACATGCTTTTTGAAGTCTTTTAGTCCCTCCATAAGACATGCCATTACATAATAGTTATAATACTTGGTCATCTATCACACCTCAAACTGTTACTTCTGACATACAGTTAAAACCTAGTCATTGCCATATCTAATGCATTGTGGCATCTGATATACTGTCACATCTAACACACTGTCACATCTAACACACTGTCACATCTAGTCCTCTGTCACGTCTAACACACTGTCACATCTAGCGCACTGTCACATCTAGTCCACTGTCACATCTAGTCCACTGTCACGTCTAACACACTGTCACATTTAGCGCACTGTCACATCCAACATATTTTTGTATCTTCAGGTGCTTCCAGCTTCTCTGAGGCTTTGCGTATGGGCAGTGAGATCTACCATCACCTCAAGAGTGTCATTAAGAAGAAGTATGGACAAGATGGTAAGCATGAACCAGCAATAATTAATTATATATTAACTTGTTTCATGGCAATGGTTATCTAATTTCTTACAGTATTTTTAGGGTTTGAATGGAGGGAAAGATTCTGACTAAAAAGGAGTTGGTTTGAAGAGGGAGGGGGATTCTGTACCTCAACAGAATATAAAAAAATGGTTATAAATTTGGAAACAGATTGCAATTCTAAACGACATTATGTACATTTTCCCCGTTTTAAGAAACACTGCCTTCAAAATGTCTTATTTTCCAGCTTGCAATGTTGGTGACGAGGGTGGCTTTGCACCAAACATCCAAGATAACAAAGAAGGTGAGTCAGGGGCTCTCTGGGTTTTACAGGATGCAGCAAGAACCAATTTATTTACAAAAAAGCTCTATCACTCTTCCCCTTCATCACCACCATTCAGAGCCAAAAGTGTTCCACTGTTGGACAAAGGCCCCAGCATGCTTCTTCCAGTGTATTCCGTCTTGGGCTTCACTCTTCCCTTACGCCCAAGAAAATGGCCGCTCACGGTATTAAAGTGACAATTTTGCACAAATACGACTGCTATCAAGTTCTAAAGATGCTGTTTTTTTTTTTTTTTTAATGAAAATCGATATATTTTACCTCTTGTTCCCTTGCTCTCCCCAGGTCTGGAGCTCCTGAAGACGGCCATTGAGCTGGCTGGTTACACTGGCAAGGTGGTCATCGGCATGGATGTGGCCGCCTCCGAGTTCTACAAGGATGGGAAGTATGATCTGGACTTCAAGAACCCCAACTCTGACAAGAGCAAGTGGGTACGTGCTGTAATATGTTAAAATTATGATCATGTAGATTTCAACAATTCGGTTACTGTGACAATTTCATTAAATATGAAAAATATCCATGGAATTGAGACACACAAAAGACTTGGAAATAACCTTGCATCAGGATTGGACCTCTGTGGTCCACTTAAGTTCATGCAGTAATATTCTCATTGCTAGCACCAAAAAATACAGAAGTGTTTTAATGTACAAAGATCAAAATCATTCCTGACCATTTTTTTTTTTCCAGCTGACTTCGGACCAGCTCAACGCCCTGTACACAGATTTCACCACCAACTATCCCATTGAATCCATCGAGGACGCCTTTGATCAGGACGACTGGGCAGCCTGGGCCAAAATGAACGCTGGCACCAACATCCAGCTTGTTGGGTAATATGATCATAGTGATAATATCTGATTATTTCTTAATAAGTTGCAGTTCACAAACATGTCAGTGTTATGTACAGTACATAAAGCCATTCAGCACCGAGAATCATTAAGGGCCTGGGATTCTAGGAACTTTGAGCATTTTTTAAAATATATACCTGCATATATATATTTTCATCTGAATTTTGTTTTTTGTTTTTGAATTAAAACAAACATTTTGACTTTTGTTATTGCAGAGATGATCTGTTGGTGACTAACCCCAAGCGTATTAAGAAAGCCATTGAGGACAAGGCTTGTAACGCTCTATTACTGAAGGTCAATCAGATTGGGTCGGTCACAGAGTCCATTGAGGCGTAAGTACAGTTGGGCAATATCAGGAACAACTAGCATTGCTTACACGCACAAATGCACAAAAACACACGTACAGACATGGACACACACATATGCAGGCTCTTAGGCACACAGTGCTCCTGGAGTAGGCAGTTCTGTCATATAGGGCAATCATATATTTATAATATTAATGATAGAATTTAACCATGTACCTACATGTAAGATATTATGCAATGGATAAAAGTTAAACTGAAAAAAAAAAGGAAAGCAATTTTGTATTTTCTGTTAAATCTTTGGTTTCAGTTGTAAGATGTCCCAGGCTAATGGTTGGGGTGTCATGGTGTCACATCGCAGCGGAGAAACAGAGGACACTTTCATCGCTGACCTGGTAGTGGGGCTTTGTGCTGGACAGGTATGTCACCATCTCTTTTTAATTTGGTTTCATTGGATCTCAGTTTTGACAGTTACAAATTTTTCATTTATGATAGTTCCACATTATTAGATTAACCTGTTGATTGTTACATCTGTTCATTCCATCATGCACATTTCTTAATGGAAAGAGAAGGAATGACAAATTGAGAATTGTTTCAACTGTACCCTAGTAATTCCGAATCATAAAATAGAATCATTCTTTACTTGGAGACTAAATAACACAAGTCTCTAAGTAATGAATAATCCTGGTTTATCATCCATTTTTATAGACCGTGAAAACCCTCTTTCATAGATTCCAAACCACTTTAATTTGTTACCTACGAGATGACTCGTTTGTGATAAACCTGCTCTTGTTTCAGATCAAGACTGGTGCCCCATGCCGCTCAGAGCGCTTGGCCAAGTACAACCAGTTGTTGAGAATCGAGGAGGAACTTGGCGCCAACGCCAAATACGCTGGCAGGAGCTACAGAAAACCCAATGCATAGGCTTTCTGTATTGTCATCATTGTAACATACCTGAGAAGGACTTCAAGTACTGTACTATACTACTAAAGTACAGTATATTTACAGTGTATGAATGTTATTAGTAAGAACAATTTCACTCTCTCTCCACTTGTTATTATCAGCTCCTTAACACCCAGTTTCATTATAACACATAGAACAACTTAATTGAAGAGACAGTGTTATCTTGATATTACTGTTGTTATCATTTTGGGTTAAAATATATTTGTTAGGTATATGTACTGTGAGAGGAGGACCTCTGTTTCCCCTCACAAGCTTTATCAAGTTTAACCCATATTCTTATTATTTTAAATTTACATCTGATGATAAGTCACAAGTACAGCTCTAATGGACTGGTTAAATTTAATAATACCTACCACACTCACAGACAGTTTTAGGTTGAAAAAAAAAAGAGAAGTGGACAAAGAAAAGAACAGTAGAATGTTGGGATGTGGTGCTTGGCTTGAGATAGTTAAGACTGCTTAATGCCTTCTATTGACCTATATTTACCAGTATATAGGTCACTGACTAATATATCTGTATCTCATACCTATATATTAAGGTCATTAGCCTTAATATTTGTCAATATAATTGACCTGTATACTTGTATCTAGGTTATTATACTGCTTACAGCTGGTTTAGCATAATAAGGATGACCTAAATGCACTACTGTTAGTTCCATATCAAGTTTGCCTGAACTTCTGATCAACATCTGGTCATATGTTACTACTTTGGTCTTGGTTATTGCAAACTTAAGTATAATTACCAGTTAATTGGTGAACTTTATCTTCCAGGTAAAACAATAAATCTATTGGAAACAAAGCCAAAGAATCAACTCTATTTGTTCTCATTAAAATATGCTGTGGCTGCTAACATTTCCCTTAACGTCTTTTTGTAATTAACCAAAGACAGTTGTAACAGAGTTTGCTTTTTCCTTTCTCATAAGTGTGTGGTAATATTGTTGTAGCAAGGAGAAGTTGCATGTTCTAGTTTATGGTGCTTTGCTGTGTTCAAATTAAGTTTATCTGAAGAAAAGATTAATTAGGCATTTAAGCTTTATACTTGGTGTTTAGAATCCTGCAAATGACATAATATTCATTTTGTTACTTTCATACATGTGTAGTAGAAGAAAGGGCTGGTAGGTTAAAAAGAATTGTACCTTAGAGTGAGTTACCATGATCACAATGACAGGAGTATTTTAGTTACCATAGGAGCTGTTTGTTTATATGGGGTGCTATGGATTCTGTCAACAATGCCTCACTGAATGTTGTGCTGTGCTGTTAAATTCCTGGAGGGAAATGAAAACTAATAAAATGTTTTTTAACACAGTTGTTTTAAAGTTGCTCTTCATCTTGAGTTTACCACATAATATTTGAATGTCATTGAAAAAGAAAAGGGAATTATCAAAATTTGGATCGTAAGTTTATGATAATTTCTACAAATGTTACATTTTAAAAGGTTAACGAGTGCAAACATTCTGTAGAACATTTAACAAGTTAGTGCAATGTGGATATTTGAAATTAAAACCCATTTGTTTTGATTTGGGAAAGGTGAACTGGACAAATACTTGAAATGCTACACAGAATTTTATTTCCAGTAACTGAACACCACATACTGCCTGAAACCAAATTAACAGATGTCTAGAATATTTTCCTTTTCCAACTTCTTCACACAACTGTAATAGCTTGGTAAAGCAGAAAACATGCTTGCAATATACTTCAATCCATTCTTTCACATGTGGTCAAAGAATCAAAATGAAGGTCAAGGTATTCAGATCAAAGGTCATCAGGTCAAATGTCAAGGTCATCATCGGGATCTTCTTCATCAAAGTCGTCTGCCTCATCAGGCTGGTAAAAGATTTTACTGTGGACAGCAGTTCCTTTCTGCAGTATACCATGTTTTCTGAATATGAAATGAACAGACTTTCAACACTGCTTTCCATTAAAACTTATGAGAAATAGACCATGACAACTTAACATTTGCCTGAAAAATTTTAGATCTCTTAAAAATTTTAGACCTCTTAAAAATCACCCACCCTTTTTTGTCAATTGTTTCCTTTTCCACAACACTACAATTTTTATTTCTGTGAGCGAAATATTATTGTAAAATACAACTTTAGACACTATATTTTTCTACAAAATTTAGTGAGCATCTGAGAATGGCATGACCTATAATACTCACGTTTCATCATCATGCATATATGGCAGTTTAAGCTGACTTCTGGCCTCCTTCTCTGCATCAGTTAAACTGAGGTTAAAGGTCAAGTTGGCAGCTGGATCGGCCTGCTAGAAAAACAGTGTTGGTAAGGCTTCATATTGTAGTGGCTGGCACTAGATGTGGGTTCCAATCCCACCGCTGCCACTAATTGTAGCAATTTGGGGGAAGAAAACACCTCGCTTGACTGGGATTCGAACCCAGGACTCTCACAAACCATGTGACTGCTCTCCTAACTGAGGCAATCCCGGTTGAACCAGGTGATTCTCCACAAAAATGGCTGCAATATTCTATTCATAGTGGTGCTTTGTAGTACCTCAAGTTTTAAGGCACTGACAAAAACTCTTTATAGCATAAACATTTTTTTTTTTTTGGCAACATTAAGACTGCAAGCATGGTCTCATATACAAGAGTCTTTAAAATACAATTTAGTCTTAACAGCAAACATTTTCAGTGTCTATTCTTTAATCAATGGTACTCCCTAAGTTCCTTTTGTTCTTGAGCATTTTATTTTTGACTGTGTTTAGCAATGTTATAGTATTTCTAATATATATTATTAGGCATTACATACTATTCACTAATCACTAAAGTAGTTTATTAAATATATTTTACAATTTTTTTATATGACATTAACTTACAGTATCTGATGCACCCTCTGGTTTCCTTTTTGTAAGTATTATCACAGCTTCCACATCCTGAATTTCAAAATTCGGGGATATTGAAAATCTTTCTTTCTGAAACATGGAAATATAACATCTCATTAACAGAAAATATTTAGCCTGTAAGTGAAATAACTAAGTTGTATCATCTAATCTAAAGACCATGAAAAACCTATTTCATAAAAAGTAGTATCATGTTTTACCGATTTTGAAATATCTACAACATGATAATGATTTTCTCGATAACTTTACTAAAATCTCACTGAATTCACCTTTCTTTAATGCACGATCTTTCTTTTGTATAAAATTACGCATAAAAGCCACCTATTGCTAGTTCCACTCAAAGCATGTTGTAGTAGTCAAGACTTGATAGAATTTCAGAGGGCCTCCTTCACAATAAAAGGAGACTTGTAGCGCCAATTCTTTTTCATCATTTGTGGCTCATCATACCAAACATTCTATCCCTCATCCCCTTAAAACTCAGACGTATCACTTACTGATTTCATAACTTTCCCTGACTGCTTTTTGTGTAGAATGTCACAAACAGCATAACAGTTTGTCCTGTCAGGGGGCAGCACTGTTACCACTGTGGAAAATACCATTTCTACCAGCCTGGAGGTGGGCTCGTCATGGAGATCTTCATGCAGCAGAGCCATCACCTGGACACTTTCTGAAATATCAAATTCTGGTCATTTTTTACTGACAGTTCAAATGCTGACTTGCTAGAGCTCATTTCCTTTCAAGGTGATATTTTGTTTTAGGAAAGCAAAAAAATAAAATAAAATAAATAAATAAATAAAAATGGTCTCCCAAAACAATCTGATGACAGAATTTATCATCTAATATCAAATAAATGGCACCTGTAATATATAAAATAACAAATTAAATTAATATTAAATGAAAAAATAATTATGAAAAATAAAATAAAGCAAAATAAAAATGAAAACTGACAGGATCCTAGCTGACAACCTACCAGCACCGATGACATCCTGGTCCTTCAGTCTGCTGACAACCTGACAAGTGTAAGGCGTCACCCTGTGCAGCAGAAGAGGACTGAGAGAGTCCAGCACTATCAGAACCTTCTTGTCTTTGACCCGCTTCACAGATTCCTTGGCATAAAGCACAAAGTCTTGCTGCAGCTTGTAGCAGTCAGGTGTCCCTTCCCAGCCTAGAGGATCTGAGCTACAGTCATGGTATTGGACACTAAAATAATGCAATATTAATATTCTAATAAACAAGCTGCCATTTTGAAATGCACAGCAGTTAGAAATTTAAAGATTATTTTATTAATAAATCCATTCCACCTCAAACAAGTTATCCATTATCTAGTCATTTGGATTACTTGTTAAGTATGGCTTAAATTCAAGTTGCAGGACTCCAGAAATTGCTTGTGCCAGGCAATTAACACCAAAGGGTATATGGGGCCCTGTGTTAATTATTGAATTGACAATACTAAATATTTAAGCAACTGCAGAAAATTAAATCACAGAAGTAATAAATACATACTTTGCTTGCAAATGGCCCGAGAGGTCCTGGCTTTTTTCATCTGCATTTGGGTCAAAACTGAATATATGCACTTGATCCACCCTTGAACAATGAATACATTCTGAGTTCAATTATAATGATTTTGATAAATCTGAACAAATTTGAATATCTGTATGTACAATTTCAGTATTATTAACTGAATTTTGTTACTTATGATACACTATTCGACATGTGTCAAAAAGTCGAGATTGAGCAATTATACTTATTAACAAGTTGGCAACCAAAAGAAGGCTGATGCTTTCTGTTTACCTGTTTGACACCTGTATTATCAAAGCTTTCAGTAAACCTCTTCCATATTGTTGAACACTATCTGAAAATACAAAAAAAAAAGTCAAATAAGTTTCCACTGTCATCTGCAGTCTCACGGTACACATCTCTTTTTGTTTCACAGCTATATACCTGAAAATGTTTCCAATGAAACTTAAAATTGTGAAAGCCTCTATGAAAATCGCCACTCTCAACATTCAATCAGTAAATCCCGATCATAAACACTTACATTTTGCCTCGTATAAATCTAACTCAAAACCCTAAATAAAAATGGTTACTACCTTTGATCAGTATACTGCCTGACTGCTCCCGTCCACTAACAATATTTTCTAACATCGCTTAGTTTTATTTACACGCGAACAAAGTTTACAAAAACAAAACCACTGTAAACATCATGACTTCATGGGCGCAGCCATATTGCCTGTGGTGTGGAAGATCCCGGATGTGTCATGGTTGCGCCCATGTGAAATCCTAGCGTGGTATTACTTGTTGCGAATACCTTTTAAAAAGGTAATTTATGTAAGGCTGTGGTATGT